TATTTACCTTTTTTAATAATTTTTTTAGTATTTTTTTAAAGATTTTCTTATATTTTTTATACTTTCTTAAATTTTTTTTTATATTAACCTTTTTAATGATTTTTTAATATATTTTTTATTACCCTTTTTAATAATTTTTCAAAGATTTTCTTATATTTTCTATATTTTTTATATTTTTTATACTTTTTTATATTTTTTCTACTTTTTTTATATTTTTTTTTTAATATAATTTTTATATTTTTTTATTTATTTATTTTTTTATACTTTTTTATATTTTTTTTATATAATTTTTATATTTTTTTATATATTTTTTTATATATTTTTTTATATATTTTTTTATATATTTTTTATATATTTTTTTATATATTTTTTTATATATTTTTTTATATATTTTTTATATTTACCTTTTTTTAAATTTTCTTTAGTATTTTTTCAAAGATTTTCCTATATTTTTTAAATTTCTTTTATATTTTCTTATATTTTTTAAATTTTTTTATATCTTTTTTATGTTATTTTGATCTTTCTTTTTTAATTATTTTATTTTTTTTTTGATTTGGTGAATCAGATTTTTAAATAACCTGTTAAAAATTGTAACAGACAATGCATCGTGAAGTGGTAAAAGTGACTAATTTTCAAGTACTGAATCATCGTTAGCTTTATTTATTTATTTACTTTGTTTTTCTAAATACAATTGGCACTTAAAATAAAAAAAGTGGAGAGCACTCCAGCAAAGTCAAGTGTCTGTATGAAAGAAGCATTAGAGAGTAACAAGAGCGTCAATAATAGCGGCGTATGAATAATACCGGCACCCAACAGCTGATTAAGCTTTTAGAAATGAGATGAGAAAATATTGCTAGAAATTGAAAAAAAAATCATACACAAAACATAAAAAATTTGCAAGCAAAGAAATATTCAATCCGAGCTCCACTTCTATGCAACGCACGGGTATAGTATTTAGAGTTGATGTGTACGAACAAACGTTTTTCCCTGCAATCGAAGTTCATTGAGAGCATGGCTGCAGCAACATTAAGGTGCAGCGCACAAAAACGACACAATTCTTTTTCTAAACTTCCCGCTGCTGCCACCGGCATTCATAGTAAAGCATTCTGGTTACAGCAGCAACAGCAGCAGCAGCAGCAATGCCATTATAGCGCGAATAAATGCATGCGCATGCATGTTGCAGCTGACCAAGTAAGTAAAAACACAAATGAGTAGAAAAATACATATCATATATACATACATACTTGTATGTATTATAAATACACACGTGTGCGCCATACAGCGGATGAAGAAACCAGAATTTATTCCCAGCCTTAAGTGACGTTTGGCGTACATATGTCTTCAGGTAGGCAGACGGCATTTAGCCAGAAAATAAGCCAGCCAGGCAGCTATAGCGCCGGCGAAAACAATTGAAAAGATAGAAAAGGTGATAACGAAGAAGAAGAAGATGAAAAAACTAAACTCTGAGCATGAAGAAGTTCAAACGGTTGCGTGCGTTGACTAAAGCATGTGCAAGCATTTACAACGATATTTTCCCCTGCTTGCCGCCAAACGAACGCTTTGCAGAAGAGAGCAAATGCGAAGATCAACGCGCGTCAAATAAGCAGAAAAAAAAATTATGACAACAACAAAAAATACAATAGTATTGAAGAATAATGACAATATAACAAAGAGTAACATTTTGTGTCGGCGCTTGGTAAATGTCAATAACAACAACACATACGCGCGCACATACAAACACACAGACTCATGTGAAAACAATTAAGCTCGCAAAGTTCGGTAGGGGCAAGCCTACTGGGCGTATGAGTTATGCGTCAGTCAAGCACAAACATACACAAAACGTGACATACAGACATAAATACGTGTATGTACATATTGTTTGAATGCACATGTACTATGTCAGTACGTGCGAATGAGTATGTGTGACAAACGGTTTATTGTTTGGATTAGATACGTATTGTTATTGTTTTAGCTGAAGTGCTCTTCAGTTTAAAGGCCGCCAATGAGTACCGCAAACAAACAAACCAACAACAACAAAACGCGAAGAAATGCAAGGAAAGCATGTAATAATAATAGTGGGAAAAAATTATCACACGGGTGAGAGAAAAATCATTTTTCACAGGGAAAGCACGTAGAATGTAATTGATTGAATGGATGGTTATACAACTTTTTATATTACTATATATATATATATATTTCACTATAACGATAACAGCAACAAAAATAATTATTTATCATAAACTACAAGGTAAAGGAATTGCATTGCCGTTAAATAAAATATTATATTATAGAATGTACATATATTGTATGTATATGTACATGTACGTATGTAAGCAGAATAGAGAAGTTGGTGGGAGTACGTACATATTTCTTATGAATGAGTATTTTACATGTACATGTAGACAAGGTGTGTGTATAGCGGAGACAGCTGTTATGTGAACGCTGTGAAGAATGCATAATTTGAATTTATAATTTTTAATCATGTTGGCTGAAAATATTGTAGACGAACAAACATATAGAGAGTCCCACAGTACATATTATTAATGCCAAATAAAAGGTGGGAATAATAATTTTATAAAGTCATTTACCTCCACCCTTTGGCATATAAAAAAAAAGTTAATTAAATATGTTTAACAAAATAAATATAAAAAAAATCATTAAAACAGCTTTAATTAACATTGCGCACCAGCAGCCACTTAATGAACTCCCTTTGTAGCTGCGCCGCTGATATTTGCTTACAATATAAATTTTGAAGGAAAAATGAAAGCATTCAAGTATTTTGTATGTATTTTCAAGTAAACTATTAAAGCTTTGAGTGCTGCGTATAATACAATATATAAACAAAATACTAAATGCTGGCTAAACTGCGGCGTATGATTTGCCTTTAGATAATACGAGGTGTGTTCAAAGAGTGAGTTATATTTCCAAGGCCGAAAGGTTTTCAGTCTTTGTCTCTCTGAGTGTATTCCTGACATGAAATAAAAGCTACTCATAAAAATCCATCGGCCGTACGTACGCGGTTTTTAATAAAGTTCCACAAATTTGTTTGAAAACATCAGAATGCATCGGGAAAACATCAGCACACTAAATTGTAGAAGTAGCTCAGCCGAAAATTACTTCTTACGGTTAATTTTTTTTTTAGAAGCACAAAAAAATCTATGCAAAAAGACCTCAACGTGATCACCATACATAGCTGCTGTTTTCCGGGGAGTGTCCTGCAAAGGCGTTACACTTCTTCACTTCTGTGAAAAAGAGATTAAAACTTGATCTTTCGCAAGGCGTGATAAAGCAGTTACGCTATACTCTCGTCGATGACACCTAGCACTGATTTAAAGCAATATTGCTGGTTTCATAGCTGCAGATGATTTCCAGATTTGAAAAACTTGCGGGTTAGGGGTGCAAGAATTTAGCCCCGGTAAGGCATGCCTGTCGTAAGAGGCGACTAACATCCAATAGTCCCCCGACAGTCGGAACTTTATACCGGAACGAACCAGATTTTTATCCGGCCAATGACTGTCACTCCCGCAACATTCCCAAAATTTTTGCGATTGCAACAACAATAAAAATAACAGTTTGTGGTCGGAGTTGGAGGGCATAGCCTGTAGAAAACCCCACAGCAATTTGGAGTCTCAAAAAATCTTTGGCTCGAACAATTTTATGATGACTTGAACTTGTAACAGAAGAACTAAGCATATATATAAGTGCTCAAAAACGTTCGTATCTTTATTTATAACTACTTGCTCTCCATTTTTTGGTCAAAAGTAACACCCAAATCAATCTTCCACCACAGTATTCACCAGACTAGGTCTCCTGCGACTTTCACCTGTTTCCAAGTAAGATGAAACTCAAGAATTCCCTCAAAAACTGTACTTGCGTACTTCGAGGATTTGAAAAAAAGGCTGTGGAAAGTTATTATGATGACTACTTTGAAGTGTGCAAAAAAATTAGTAAAATAAAAATTCATTTTATTTTCTCAATCAACCTCGTCTACGATTTGTATCTGTGGTAATTGACATAGTCCGACAAGCACTTGAAAATTAAGTCAACTCATAGTTCGCTGTGAGTGAATGTGCCGCCTTGAAGGACACGTTGGAAATTGTGTGTAAAACATATGTTTATGTTTTCGATACATAATTTATTATGTAACAATTATTCTTATAAAATAAAAAATTTTAGCAATCCAAGCAAAGTATGTTCTTTTTCCCTACTTCCTTGAAAAGTAGGTCAAAATTTAACAACTTCATACACGTATAATATCTAATATGGAAAGTAGAAGCTGCCATTCTGAGTTTAATTAGAAAAGGAGTTCCACCAAAAATAGTTTCAGCGGTTTTGAAATGCCAGGAATACGAATACTAAATCTCAAACACACAATCGAAAGCAAATCGAGTTGAAAGGCACAAACGAATCGAAAAATCCCTAACGTGTTTTGAACCACATTTGAGCAAGAAACCAAAAATTTTTCCCCTACACAACGTATTGCTCCAGGTTGCAAGATTTTATCATATTTTATAAATTGTCTTAGCATACATAAAAAGAAAACATCCCTAGACACTTGCAAAGTATTGTGCTGCGCTCAATAACCCAAATAAAAGTTCGAAAAAAAAACAAAGGAGGGGTTGTTTTTTCTTGCCTTTAAGTACAAGGTTATAGTTGTTAGGGGAATGGTTTCCTTGAAATTGTACAAAATGAAGTTTCTGAAGACCATATGCACACTTAAGTACATGCATACATATGCAGTATACGCTGAATAAAAAAAAAAAAACATATGCTGTTCTTGTATAGAAGCGATGGTATACATACGTAAATAAATAAATATATAATATAAAAACTCAATATTTCTTAAAGTAAAATTTTTAGATTTTTCCAAAAGCTTAAATTTTGCTTTTTTATAAAAATAATTAATATATATATATTTTAGAGAATATTAAATTTAGAAACAAACACTCAACAAAACATATCGAAATGCTTGACATATGTACATATGTATGCATACTAACCTAAACCAAAGCGTTTTTTAATCTTCTTCAATATATGTAGCTTTTTGTTGGAAATACGATGATTTGGGCAGTCCACGACCACCACTTGACCGCCAGGTCCTGTGCTGGTGGGCATATAACTGTTGGCTTGATTTTCTGATAAACCCATGTTTTTGTAATTTTTGAGTTTATTTTTTTTTTTTTTTGCCGTTGGATAAATTAACTTTGGTTCAGTAGATAAATTTGCACACAATTTGTGTATTTAATGTAACAGTAAATTAAATTAAATAAATTATTTTTATTAAAAAGCAGTGTGTCGTAACGACGTTTTGGTTTGTAAGTAGTTAGAAACAACAAAAGATATAACAAATGTTGGTTGTTTGGTTTTTATTTTAGCGTTTTTGTCAGCACATTTTGTTGATAATTTCTCCCTTCTTCATTTCAACTGCGAGTTTTTATTATTATTATTTTTTTATTAATTTTTTTTTTAATTTAGTTTTTGTTTAATTATAAATTTTTATTTTCAAAAACGTATGCACTTTAACTATTAGTTTTTGAGTTCTTTTACCTTTTTATTGAAATAATTTTTTATTTAGCGTTTTTATTAATAGTTAACAACTTCCTGTTTTAAGGTTTTGTTAACTTTCTTTTCCCTTTAAGCGGAAGCAATGTATATAAACTTTAACGACACACTCAACACACGAAAAGTACTAAACGCTAACTAGCAACGACGATGACAACGACAGCGCGTTTGTTTGGCATGCAAAAGAGCGACGAGTTCTTCTTCTTCTTCTGAATATCCGTTGTCAGCAGTGCAAGCAAACCAAAAGAAAACCGAACGTGTGTCTACAACAAGCAGCTGCTGGCCAACAACCGAGAATGCACATTTATGTTGCTACTTGCGTATCGCGCGAATGTCGATCTGAACCGTTTGACGTGAGAATATTAACTGAATTAACCCTGTCGCCAATGCCACACAATTCCTAGCCGAAGAAAGGCCAGGTCAACACGTTGAGTGTATTATAAAGCAGCTGGAGCTTATCGGCGCGCTCAAACGATTCTATACTCACTTAAACGCTCAACTTTACACTCGGTGATTTGAGTAATTTACCAAAAGGAAATTAAAAAAAAAAATTGCAGGCACACAAGAGTGGTGGATAAACAAATGCGCGACGAGTTGTAGAGTCGAATTTTAAATAAATAATAGATAAGGTTTATAACAAGAAGTCGATATGTATGTATGTACAGCCATGGTCACGCGAATAGCATCGTAACGATAAATTTAAAATTAAATCATAAAACCTCAATCGTTTCGGTTCAAAAATTTGGAAATTTTAAAGTCGAAGCAACTATCAAAATAAAATTTATTTCGTTTTTACTCGTAACGAAAAGCTGTCGTTTATGTTAAATCGGTAACAGATAATGTTAAATGTTGAAATTGAAGTATTCTGTTAATACATAACACAGTAAGTAGCCATTTTAAAAGGAACGTTAAAGATGAGTCTCGATAACATGGCGTCGAAATAAAACAAAATCATTTCGTTACGTTTATTTTTCATAATAACATATCAGGTGTACAACTTTGCTTCCGCCGTTTTCCGATAGGTAGCTGTACCGGCTGAGGCTGGTTGAAATACATAAATAGATGATAATGCCTTTAAAGTGAGTGTGGACAGTGCCTAACGAATTGTCATCGCCGTTTCAGTGACAGTTGTTCTTGTTTTCGTATTATTCACGCTCGAAAATGTCCGTTTATGTGCCTAATTCTCGCCATTTGCGGGAAGTTTTACTTTTCTGTTACAATTCGAAAAAAAAATGCAGCTGAAGCGCATCGAATGCTCTCAGAAACTTACGGTGATGCTGCTCTGAGTGAAAGAACGTGTCGGGAGTGGTTTCAACGAATATTCACGGCGCCAAGGTTATGATTTGTATTTGGTGGGATCAGCTCGGTGTGATTTACTACGAGCTCTTAAAACCGGGTGAAACCATCACAGGAGATCGCTACCGAACGCAACTGATGCGCCTTAGTCGCGCGCTAAAAGAAAAGCGGCCACAATATCAAGAGCGACATGACAAAGTCATCCTCCAACACGACAATGCTCGGCCTCACGTCGCAAAAGTGGTCAAAAAGTACCTGGAAACGCTGAAATGGGAAGTCTTGCCCCACCCGCCGTATTCCCCAGATGTCGCCCCTTCTGACTTCCACCTATTCCGTTCGATGGCACACGGCCTGGCAGATCAACATTTTCAATCCTTCGAAGAATTGGAAAAATGGATTGCTTCAGGGATAGCGTCCAAAAGAGGACTCCTTTTTTCGAGCCGGGATCCGAAAATTGCCGGAAAGATGGGAGAAAGTTGTCGCTAGCGAAGGAAAATACTTTGAATAATATATCAAAGAAACATGATGCCCCCGTCGGACCATAAGCCGCACCAAAAAGTTACACGTTGGGGATGAAGAGACTTTTTTAGTTTTAGGAACCATCTTTGTGTCAGGTTTTCACTATTTTTATAGAGAATTTTAATAAATTAAATGCGTTGTTGAAGCATTAATGACATATTCGGGAATAGCAGGCTATTTAGTATAGCAACATTTATTCGTAAACTTTTTATTTATTTCACAACAAATCCAAACCGCCAGCAGCGGGTAGTGTGATGGTTTTAAAGATAGAACCAGCATACGAAAGAGCAAATCAGATCCATTTAAATCAGCAATATGCAGCAAATAAATGAAAAATTCGATTTAAAGATTTCAATAAGCACTGAAAGAAGATGTTTAACCGTGGGGCAGCTCTTTGGACGTATTAGTTGCCAACAGCCGCTCCTGTCAAAACGGCATATGAAAAAAAAACGATTGGACTTTGTCACGACACATGAGAGCTGGAAACTAAGTTTTTTTGGAAATATGTACTATAGAACGATGAAACTAAAACAAATAAAATGGGGCTGGATAAAAAAAGTACAGTTCATTAACCAAGAGGTCAAGATTTCATTCCCAGGTATATAAAAAAGACAATAAAACATTCAGGCGGTAATATTATAATTTAATGGCCATTTTCCTGGAATGAAGTGGGACTGATTGCGGAAATGGAAAAATGGACAAATGTTAATATTTTGCACTTAATTATTTGCCACTAAATTTAACTTTTTTGCAGGATAACGGTCTGCAAGGGTCACAAAAGATTGGCTTAAAAACGAAAATATCAAATTAGACGACACAAGGCCCAAACGTCATGCTGCCAATATATTACTAAAACAAAAATCTCTTCAAAAAACTGAAATATTTCGAAGGGTTTCAAAGAAACATGGTACGAGCGCTCCATACCAATAGAAAAAAGGAGGACTCTTGTTGAGAGCATGTGACGCAGATGGGAAGCTGTATTCAAAAATCAGGTGCTACATCCCTGATATTACGAGATTAAATATTTTTAACACTAATAATGGATTGAAATATGTCACTTTTGATGTTTTTGAGGTATATGCGCGACGAAGTCAATTTATCAGGAAACTCAAACTTTTTAATTATTTTCTGTTAACATTAAATAATTATTTAGTTTTTGCATAAAGATTGTGTCATTTATGTTTCAGAAGTAAAGATGTCCTATTTGCATGACTGTGGCTGTATATATACATATGTATGCATGTAGAATTTTATGTGAGTTTGCAGAGTGGAGATATGAATTCATCGTTGGGTTAGTAAACTATCTTTACGAGTGTAGAGGCAACCAACGAAGCGCCTTTGCCTTCTGAGTGACTGACTGCTGGCTCGCTAGCTTCTTGCCTCACTGGCTCGAGTTGATTGTGTTTGCAGTCACGGGCAACATGGACAAAGCAACAACAATATGGTAGTATATGTTGAATTTCTTTTTATATACATTTTTGTTTTTGTGTTTGCTCATGGCGTCTTCATATGATGGTAGGTAAAATTGCAGCTGTTTCGTTATTTTTACACATTCTCTGTTTACACTGCCTTGGTGAAGCTCGTCGTCTCAACGCGTCTCCAAGCAAGCAAGTCACTCAAGAAGCAGCAGCAGCAGCAGCAGTTTTTAATGATTTGTACTCCCTTCTGAGGTAATTCGCTTTGCTAATTTTTTTTTTTTTTTTTTTTGCAACTATTTTTGCGTTTTTGTTGTTGTGTATGGATGGCGCTGGTGTTTGATAGCGTTGATGGTGGCGGTTTTAGCTTTTGTTTCCTCGTCCAACTGTAACCGTGATGTGCATCGGTGCAAAAATTCAATTGCGAATAATTTCGTTTCGATTGAGCGCGCATAAAAATGAGAGAAACAAGAATGCCGTTCAAATTACACACTCTATGCTGGTATTTCTACATACTCGTATATACATACATACATATATTTAAGTTATAACACTTTTTTGGAGTTATTTTTTCATTTCCAATACACTTTGTTAATAAATAATTGAAGGCGAAATAGTCTTACACATCGCCGTTGGATATTGTAAGTATGAAAATTGTAGAAGATTTCTGTCCGGTATAATTATTGTGGGAATTGGTTCAAGTCAATTTTCGACAATCTGCATATTTTGCGTGAATTAAAGCAGTAATTGATATAAATTTGCCACAATACAAGGTTAAATTGAAAGTTCATTTATTTGGGTACTTTGAAATTAAATAATAATTTAAAACTAGAGAGTGTTGCATTCAACCATGAAAAGGGCTTTAGAACTTTCATGAATACATTTATCATTTGGTTTGTTGGTTGGTTGAAATAAAGATGTTGCAGTTCAAATAGTTTCAGGCCAGGTTCGTCAGAAAAAGGTTGTTCTTTGAAATAAATTTTATTTAAAAAAAAAATATATATTTATAAATCAAAGTTTTTGTAGATAAACAGACAAATAAAAGTATTAATTAAATTTTTGGAAGGGCGGCTAAAAAACGTCCCTTTTATTGGCGACTGACACGATAACTGTAAAACGATTCATCTGAAATCAAAAATCTAAACAATTTCATATTCTGGATCACATTGGCTATGGCCGGAACTACAATGAAACAAAATGGCGGACTTTTTTAATTTTTTAACCCTTTTTTCAATTTTAATTGCTCATAAATTTTGTAAATAACAATGAATATTTTTGGCTGTAGTACCGACCATAGAGAGACTTTTTTAAGAGAAAAATGGCATTCAGTTCATGTTGATAAGTTCAATAGGTTCTAAATGAGAGTGTTACTCAGTTGAAAAAACGTTGTTACGAGAAAAGGGCGACCGGATTTACCGCCTGGTGCGTTCTGCTCTCCTCTCTTCTATACTTACATCTTGGTTTTGCGGATATTCGGGACCAATTCTATATTATTTCTAAGAGTATTTTCTCGCAATTTGCAGTGAAATATATATATTTTTTGAAAATTTTGCTTATCTCGGCTTAAAACATATTCCACAAACAGCTGAAAATTTTTAGATAAACATTTGTTGAGAAAAAACTAACACTTTGGCAAATTTTCATCTCTTTACTTTTTCATTCGATCACAACAGAACACGCGGATTCCATTCACAGACTCAATTCACACAATGTATGTAGACGTGAAAGTCGAAGCATAAATTGTGTGATTTTAAACCCAATCCACAGCGAAATTTGTAAATGTGAAAACGGTTAGCAGGGCTTCTTTAAGAATTTCTATACCCAAATTTTAAATATTAAAATATTTCAAAAACTTTGATCTAATTTAAAAAACAACTTAATCGAGTAGTTTTCCGAAACAACTATTTATTACACAAAAACGTTCTCACTCAAAGTAGTAGTAACGGTGGATTCATCACAATTTCATTACACTCAAAGAAAAACCCGAGCGGAGTGGGAGAATAAAATAACCAAAGGTGCATATATACATACATACATATTTACATCTTTAAGGGATGCAATGATATTTACAGAAGAAAAAAAATAGAATAAAATAAATTGCCGTGTCGTTGTCCTGCCGTCTTTTAGCAATTGTGTATACTATATATGTGAACATACATACATATGTTTGTTAGTGTAAAGTCCGAAGGAAAAAATCTGAGCAGATGTTTAAGAATTTTGTGGGTGTGGGTATTCCATAGCAGCACAAGAGTATGCGAAGAAGCCAAAATCTGGAGTATACATATTTACGGTACACATGTATATACATATGTATGTAGCTATGCCAGGATTTACCTACTTTTTTAGTTAAAGTA